ATTTAATCACAATAACAATAATTTTTTATATAATCATTATCAATACATCTACTTTGAGTTTGATATAAATTAATTCTTTTAATATCCCCAATGACCGTATAAACGATTTTGTTATCTTGAGACGCGAGGTTTACAAATGCCTCAAATTGTGCATTACCAGGAAGAGTTTGAATCATGACGATAAAAAAAATACCCGATCCAATTCGTTTTTGGAAACGCCTCAAATTAATACTTCTCGCTGACAACACCTTATCCAATTGTAATTGTTTGCAATTAAACGGTAACATCTTGTTGATATATTCCACCAAAAATAACGCAATATCATAAATAATTGGAAGCTGTTTTGGGATTTCCCTAGAACTATGACAAGCACAATATTCTAATGGAATTTGGACATCCTCGCAAGAACGTGTTTCTGGAATCTTTCTAAATACACTTCTCCCATAATTTTCTCTTAAATCATTAAATTTTGTATCGCTATTTAATTGAGCTAAAAATAATAAAGCTTTATGGATTTCTAAAGGAGTAGTCAATCTATATCTATTAATTAGGTAGTTTGTGTAGCTATACTCGTAGATATTTTTGTAATTATCGGGGAAATAAAAAGAAATAAACGGCAATTTTTCTTCCAATGATCCTTGATGAGTAAGACGATGTGGTCCTAATCTTGCCCCATGATCGCTAAATACAACTATAACTGTATTATTAAGCACGTTTTTTATAGAAGGGTCATTAAAAAAACTTGCTAAGAGTTCATCAAAAATTTTTGGTTTCAAAATAACCCCCCGAGAAGTAATCGTTTTAAAAAAATAACCAAAAAATTTCAAATTATTACCACTCATTGTATTAACAAAACTTTTTATATACTCCAAAAAAACTTTATATGCTTCCCGTGTTCCCAAACAATCTGTAACATCTCCATTTTGGTCATTATCCTTTACAATTTCGGGTAAATACATAAAATAATCGAGATTATAATCGTCTTTATTCTCCATAATCCCCGCATCATCACCATACGCAGTTACATATTTATGTTTTTTAAAATAATCCCATAAAAACACGCAATTATAATCAGTTCCGTTCTTTTTTAACTCCTCATCTGAACACCCCGTTAAAAAAGGGAGCAAATTTAAGATAGTTTTTCGAGACTTTGCGTGATAACCAAATAATTCGCGGCTTTTTAATGATTCCAACACTTTTTTTGTTTTGGGGAATTGCCTGTAAAAATTTAATCGCGATAAACCATCAAAACCGATCACCAAGACGTTAAAAGTATCGTTTCGTTTCATTTCGGATTTTAATCCTTTTTTAAGTGGGACAAACTCGAAATAATCCCTGTATATAGGTTCATTTTTATAGAAACACTCTACCAAAATAAATTCGTGCTTTCCAATGTTAGCTGAATTTATAAAATAAATACTTGGGCCAAATTTTATATTTTTATTCCAACCTAATTTTCGTGATACTCGATAAAACGGGGTATAACGACAAATAACTGAATCATCTTCAGGTAGGATCCCATAAAATCTCTTGGAGTTTTCTAAGAAATATATTGATGATGAAGTAGATCCCACCAAAGGGGGGCGACCATGATTACATTGCCCCAAATGTAATTTATCTTGAAAATACTTCAATATCTCTGGATTGAATGGATTAAAATCAGGAATTTTGCATTCTTCAGTCTCAATGATGAAATTTTTTTCGTTATGTTCCACATCACGATTATTTAAGTATAAGATTGTTGATATTATGGGTATTAGAAACTGCTTTAACATTGTTGTAGTATTTCGAACACAACTGCTTAAAATTTTGAGTTTTTTAGACGTTTATACCATTAGAAAGCGTGGGGGGAATCAAGAATATCAAATTTTCTGACTAATTCTATGTAATCTTTTCTAGAAATTAACACACATATTTCTTATTAATCAAAGTGAATGAAAATAAATAATCTTAAGAATTTTTAACTTCAATATTAACAAGTAGATGAGGAAATCAATAATTTCTATAGTCTATTGGGCGAAACTATACAAGAGTTATTCAAGAAAAAAATTCTGGTAATCCAGGATGATATTAATGCAGAGATGCATCAACTGTAGATGATGCTTCTAGTATATTTGTACTCTTTTTAGAATAGCAGATCAGCAAACCATCTCAAACCTCTCTTTTCAACCATATGTATAATAGTTTTTCATTGATATGTATAATAAATTTTCATTCTATTTTTAAGTTCTTATTTCGAATTCTCTCCAATTTGGACACCTTTACACTCCTCGTCCAAACATCACAACCAATATTCTCGACCATAATATTTCAAATGGCTTTATAGACCTCGTTTTTGATTTCTGTTAAACCTTGTTAGTTCTAGTGCAAAATTAGAACTAACACTAGACCTAGAACTAGAAACATTCAGATTTAGCCGCACGTGTCTCAAGACGGCTAAACCTGAATGATTTTAGTTCCTGTATTAGTTCTAGTGATAGTGTTAATGTAAAACTAGAACTAACACTAGACCTAGAACTGGAAAGAATCATTTTTGATTTCTGTCAAACCTTGTTAGTTCTAGTGCAAAATTAGAACTAACACTAGACCTAGAACTAGAAACATTCGGGTTTAGCCGCACGTCTCTCAAGACGGCTAAACCTGAATGATTCTAGTTCCTGTATTAGTTGTAGTGATAGTGTTAGTGTAAAACTAGAACTAACACTAGACCTAGAACTGGAAAGAATCATTTTTGATTTCTGTCAAACCTTGTTAGTTCTAGTGCAAACCTAGAACTAACACTAGACCTAGAACTAGAAACATTCGGGTTTAGCCGCACGTCTCTTAAGACGGCTAAACCCGAATGATTCTAGTTCTAGGTCTAGTGTTAGATCTAGTGCAAAACTAGAACTAACACTATGGTATGTGCAGATATGTGTTATTAATTGAAATACCCATATCTTACATTATCATATCGCCTATATTATTTTTGACTCAATAAAAGTATAATGAGCTAAGAAATAAGATAATGAATTAGAATCTTCTTGGATTAAGGATAAACAAACATTCAATTGAGGTTAGAATGGAAATGTAAAATATAGAAATGTTATAGATATATATTTAATTGATATTGAGGCTGTATTAAAAGCATTTTTAACTGTGTTTAATGTTAATATAATGTTAAACATTTATAAATATTTAATAATTTTAAAAAAATCCCCGCGCTATTTGGGTTGCCTAGTTCTGTATTGTCTAGATTTTTTAAAATAATTTTAAATAAATGAATCGTTTAAATAAATAAACTAAAATAATACGTTATTATTATAATGTTAACTTTATTTATAATAAATAATTTAAATCCGCAACTTTATTTATTTGTTTGATATCTTAAATAATTAAATTAATCAATTTGGATTGTTAGTGTAGATTTAGTTGCCTAACTTATTTTTCTATCAACCAATCAAATCCATCCACATGTTGGTTGACTTGTCTGTTAAAGTGTTAAAAGACATATCAGTACTAAATTTCCACTTTAAGTTATCTATCAAAAAGTAATAGGATACATTAAAAAGCCTGTGATATGTGGTACTAAGTGTGTTTAATAACGTTTGAAAGAAAAATATTAATCAGAACCTATAATGAATCTTTCAAACGGATCAGCGTTTCTTCTTCTAAATCTTTTCTTATTAACGTTAAGTTCAGTATTAGCCGGACGAGACTTTTATAAAATATTGGGTGTATCAAAAAGTTCTAGTTTACACGAAATTAAAAAAGCGTATCGTCGCTTAGCCAAAGAACTCCATCCCGATAAAAATAAAGACGATGAGAACGCTGCCACAAAGTTTCAAGATTTAGGGGCAGCTTACGAAGTTCTCTCAGACGAAGAAAAACGTAAAAAATATGACAGATGTGGCGAGGATTGTCTTCAAAAAGACGGTATGATGGATAACGGATTCGATCCGTTTGCAAGCTTTTTCGGCGATTTCGGTTTTCATTTTGGTGGTAACGAACAACAAAATGAAACTCCTCGTGGAGCGAACGTGGTTATTGACGTAATGGTTACTTTAGAAGACCTTTATAGCGGTACTTTTATTGAAATTACTCGAAATAAACCAGTTATGAAACAAACTAAAGGGACAAGGAAGTGTAATTGTCGCCAAGAGATGATTACAAGGAATTTGGGGCCCGGTCGGTTCCAAATGATGCAACAAACGGTTTGTGATGAATGTCCAAATGTTAAATTAGTAAATGAAGAGAGAATTTTGGAGATGGAGGTTGAACCAGGGATGATTGATGGACAAGAAACTAAATTTGTCGCGGAAGGTGAACCCCATCTTGATGGAGAACCTGGTGATCTTATTTTAAAAATTAAAACTCAACCACATCCTATTTTTGAACGACGAGGAGATGATTTGTATACTAATATCACTATATCTTTACAGGTTTGTAATTGTTAATAAATTTAGAAACATCTCATTAATTTTTATTTTTTGTAGGATGCTTTAGTTGGATTTACTTTAGAATTAGCACATTTAGATGGTCACCTTGTCTCAATAACGAGGGATAAAGTAACATGGCCCGGGGCGAGGATTCGTAAGAAAGGTGAAGGAATGCCAAATTATGAAGACAACAATTTGCATGGAACTTTATACATAACGTTCGACGTTGAATTCCCCAAACAAGAATTTTCTGAAGAAGAAAAAGAACAACTAGCTAAATTACTTAACCAACATTCAAAGAACAAGATTTATAATGGATTGAGAGGTTTTTGAGTGTATTTATCAGATTAATGATAAGATACTCTAGTTAAAATTTTCGACATTTCTTGTACATAATTTTCCTTTTGTATGTGTGTTGTATATCAATGTAAGGGTATTATTATAAAAGTATATATGAAAAAAATATGAATAGTGTGAATTTAAAAGAAATTTTATTTATTTGTCATCCAAAAGCCTGATTAATGTCATCTTTTTTGATATGATTTGTTTCCTGTTTTCTTTTTTGTGATATGAAATGTTGGATATAATAAATTTGTTTAAGTCACATTTTTTTCGTTTTATTTGTTTAAGATAAATTGTAATCTTATAATATTTAAATTTGACAATATTACTATGAAAGTTAGGCAACACAAATGTCATATTAATTATTTATTTATGAATTATGACATTAATAATAATAATCGTTTTTTTTTTTAACTAAAATCAATATTAGTACGAGAAAATTATGATTGATTAATCTCAATGTGTTTGCATAATGCAAAAATATTTTTCCCCCTTTTTTTTTTAGGATTTAAAAAGAATTTACAAAGAATGTTTAAGCTTTACCAACGCAGTTTTATTTCGTCATCTTTGAAACTTTCGATTGCAATAGGAATGTTTTCTGGAATATTCTCTGTAATTTATTCTCACAAACAAAATATTTTTAAAAATTATTTAAATTTTACTTTTTTTGATGTATTGCTTTTTGTCTGTTTCTTTTTGTGATAAGAAGATAATAAATTTGTTTAATCCACATTTTTTTCGTTTTATATGTTTAAGATAAATTAAAATCTTATGTAAATTAAACAATAAAATGTAATTAACAACATTAGCATGAAAGTTAGGCAACACAAATGTCACTAATGTCATATTAATTATTTATTTAAAATAAAAAAGCATGTTTATTGATACTAATTGTAATTGTACTAAAGAATTGAATGCTTCCATTTCCTTTGTTTGATTAAAATCAATATTAGTATGAGAAAGTTGTTAGTTCTACTTTTCGTTCAATAAAAATATACCACAATCTAAAGACGCACGATTAAACCCGAATATTTCTGGTTCTAGGTATAGTGTTAGTTTTACTTTACTTTCAATAACAATATACTACAATCTAACACTAAATACATTTAAGACTATAACTCAAAAATTAGAAAAACTAGAAAAATTATGTTAGGCAACACAAATGTCACTAATGTCATTTTAATGGGGTCATACACACTTATTAAATTTAGAGAAAATTTTTACGTCAAACGATATATGCAAGTATATGCATGAACACAAAGTAAAAGAAATATTTTGATCAATTTTATATTTTGCGTAATTTGAAGTGAAAAATAGCAAATATTCAAACGAAATAATTTCGCGGCTTTTCTGTGACGTAGGAACCGCACTGCCTAAAACAAGTTAAATTGTCCGTTAGATAGCGCTTGCGGTGTGACAGTGTCAAAATAAAACCATGGATGTAATACAGTGTCTCTATTACATCCATGAACAAAACATAATAAACATAACCTACAAACACTCTATCTCTTTTCAATACAACCTAAATGACGTTCATCTCTTTCTCGCATTTGAGCGGGGAGCAGGGGACGCAAAAGTGAGAATCGTACGTCATCAACGCGGGAATTTTAAAAGCGCAAATGGGTATATAAATTTTCAATAATTTTTTTAACAATGACTTTGTTCGAAAATATTAAAAAAAAAAATAACGGTAACTATATTTTTATATAAACTTTCAGAAAATATAATAAAAAAAAAATCGTGTATGACCCCATTATGTATTTGACATAAAAAAATAAGTTTATTGATACTAATTGTAATTATACTATACAATTGAATGCTTCGATTTTCTTTCTTTGACTAAAATCAATATTAGTATGAGAAAATTATGATTGATGTGTTTGCACAATGGAAAAAATATTTTCTGTTTTTCCCCCTATTTTTATGGTTCAAAAGGAATTCATAAAGAATGTTTAAGCTTTACCAACGTAATTCTTCTATTTCGTCATCTTTGAAACCTTTGATTTCAATCGGGAAATTTTTTGGAATATTCCCTGAAATTTATACTGACAAAGAAAATGTTTTTAAAAATTATTTCAAATTCCCCTTTTTACATTGGTGCTTAAATTTTATAATTATCTCTGTGTATTGTAGCTTTTCTCTTATTTATAACACACATAATTCAAAAGGTATCAAATTGTAATTTATAATTTCCACGAAACTATTTGCTGCCTTTTTAGTTATTTTAAATAATTTAGGTTCGTTAATATTTTTGGTAAGTTTATTACGCCTTTCAAGTAAATGGAAAAATATTAATCATAAATGGAACCAATTAGAGAATCGAATAATTATTTTTCAAAGGAAATCGTTAAACAACCAAAAAATCCTATTTAATCTAATATTGTTAACTTTTATCGTCCTCTTTCTAAGTAAAATTAATTAACGAAGTAAGTAATCAATAAATAATTCTTATTTTTTAGTGAATCATATTATCATCATATCTGGGAGAACCCCCCTTCATAATTTATCAATTAAATCCTTTTATTTAAACATTTTCAACGAGATTTTCACAAAAACTGAATACACATTAATAAAAGCTTTATTTATACACGTAAGTAACATTTAATACACCCACGTTAATATATTAATCTTTTAATTTATAGATTTCTCAATTATTAATCGAATTTATCTGGCAATTCGTCTCTTATTACATAATTTTGATCTCGTTATCTTTAAAAAATCAATTCCAACAAATTAATAACCACTTTTTGAGCATCAAAAAACCGGATCAATACGAAATTATAAAACTACATCAAATTCTAAATAATTTATCCTCATTTTCTACATTATTAAACCAAGAATTCTCAATTATTTTATTAATTACTTTTGGGGGGAACACATTTTTTGCTTCTTACATCCTTTTCGAAAACAAAACCAATCAAAACATCAATTTTTTGCTCATATTTTTCAATACAATCTTCGTTACTTATTGTACTTCGTCTATACACAAAGAAAATCAAAGAATTTGCGATTATTTGCTTACTTTTCCCACTGATTTTTGTTACGACGAGGTGATTAAATCATTTTAACCCAATTTTAATGTTTTAATTAAATTTTTTTTAGATTGAACAAATAGTAACCGAATTATCAACAAATCCGATTTCGTTTAATTTATTGCACATATACACAATAACGAAACAAACAAATTTAAGCATTTTAAGCACAATAATTGTGTTACAATTACTTTTGATTGAATTTAAAAAATTTGAATTTAGTGACATTTAGTTTTTCCCGCCAAAAAAATTACATCGAAAGTTTTATTTTTAATTTTTTTTATTTAAACGTTATCAGTTTTAACTAACCAAAATAATCCGATTAAAATTAAAATAATTAATTAAATAATAATAATCGAGTTTTAAAAATTTAAATTAAGTGACATTAGTGACGTTTCACTAACCTAAAAATTCACTCTGTCATTATTGTAGATTTGACGTATTAATTTTTAATTTATTTTTCTTAAATTAAGAAAAATGTGGGCAGATACGCTTCTTATCGTTTTTATTTCAATTTGTACGGCTCTTCTCGGCGAGGGTTTAACTTGGTTGATGGTGTATCGTACAGAAAAATATCAAAAATTAAAAACTGAGGTTGAAAAGCAAAGTAAGAAATGTAAGTAGATTTAAATGATCTTATGTAATTGAAGAACTTAATCAAATTTTTTTGTAGTGGAAAAGCGTAAAGAAACCCATGGGGAATCAATTTATAAACAGGTTAAAAAGAAAATTGAGAGGCAAGAGGAGCGATTAAAAATTAATAGTAGAGATTTATCTTTGGTTAAAATGAAATCAATGTTTGCCATTGGATTTGCATTCACTGCTTTACTTAGTATGTTTAATAACATGTAGGTTTTTTTTTGTTGTTATCTTTGTCAGTTTTTGATTTATCTTAACTTTCTAGTTTTGATGGGAGAGTTGTGGCAAGATTACCATTTGTACCAATTGTTTGGGTGCAAGGTTTAAGTCATAGGAATCTTCCAGGCGAAGATTACACTGAATGTTCGTTTATATTCCTTTACATTTTATGTACTATGTCAATCAGGCAAAATATTCAAAAAATGTTGGGATTTGCGCCATCGAGAGCTGCTTCTAAACAAGGAAATACATTCTTTGGTCAAAATGCAGGACAATTTAAATGAAAGCACAACAAAGATAGTTTGATTCATAAATTTTATTTTTATTTTGTACATTATTTATAAAAGTACCTCATTAAAAATCGAGGTGTTAATTTGTATTTATAATTTATACAATACAAGCTTCTAACATTGGTTTATCAACTATTAATCGATCAAATCCAAACCTTGTTAAACCTATAGTTTGGAAATCACCATCTAAAATTAATTCAGCTATTGCTCTTCCTACAGCAGGGGCTTGTTGAATACCTAAACAAAAATATTGGTTATTTTTACTCAATTTTAATTGATTCCTTCTTACCATGACCACTAAATCCTGTGGCTAGATACACATTGTGATAATAAGGATGTGGCCCAATAATTCCATTTTCATCATAACAATTATAATCATAAAATCCACTCCACGCGCTTCTTACCTATTTTTTTTTAAATTAAAAAAGTTCAAAAATAAAAAAAAAATTTTTTTTAACTTACTTTAACACTATTAAAAGCTGGAACACGATGGGCTAAAATAGGCCAAATTTTTTCATCAAAATAAACATGATCAACATCTAAATTATCAGTGGTAGGCTCTTCATTGGGTAAAGGTGATAAACCTCCAATAAAAGTTCCCCCATACCCATCTCGTCTAAAATAAGCCCCTGTATAATCAATAGTCATAGGGGTATTAATCCCAGGACATTCTTCATTACACGAAAAACAATAAACATAACGTTTTCGTTTCTCTACAGGAAGTGGGATTGATAAAATTCCTTGTCCTGTACCAATTCGGGCTAGTTTAGCAATTTCACCAGAATCAGCCCCACCAGCAAGAATTATTAAAGCGAATTGTATTGATTTGTGTTCTCCATTTGGTAGTTTTATTATTGCCTCATCCATCGATTCATAAGTACCTTCTTCAACTCCATCAACTGTAATATCATGTTTCTTTTCAAAAGTGAAATCAACCAATTCACCAGTTATGTATTGAGCCCCTGCATTCATTGCTCCTCTTTTCATTATACAAAGCATAGCCCAGGGGTCAAACCAACCTTCTTTTTCTAAACCTAAACATCCTGCTTCGACATCATCAACATTCATCCATGGAAATCTAAATCAAAAAACACTTTATGAGTTATTTTATAATTGTAATTTAAATTTATTACCTTGCTTTTAATTCATTTCTTGATAAAATAACATTATAAGCACCAAGATCTCTTTGTAATTTAGAATTATCTATTAATTGTTGAGCTCCTTGCTCACTTGCCAACATTAAATAACCATTTGGGGTGAAATAAACATCTGCGTCATTACCAAAACGTTTTTTTAAGTTACGAATAAATTCAGCTCCAAATAAAGACATTTGTATGTTTTCAGGGAGAGAAAATTGTTGTCTAAGACCTCCAACAGATAAAACTGTTGAACTTTTTGCATACTAAAATAAGACAAAGTTAATTAAAATTCTCTTAATTAAAAATTTCTTACCGTTGGATCTTTCTCAATAACAGCTAAATTGACTCCTTTTAATCCAGATTTTTCTTTAATCCAATAAGCGATTGAAGTTCCAATAGCACCTCCACCAACAACCAAAATATCAACGTGCCTAGGAAAGATATTATCTAACCCACCAACCTGATTAGCATCATTAAATTTAGCAGGTTTCCTTCGAAAATCATCTTTTAATATCCTCCAAGTCCTCGAAAGCGGATTTTCAAATTTTAATTTTATAGAAGTAGTGTGTACGTTCTTTGAATTTTTTAATAAAATCGTCCTACATAAACGCTCAATATTCTTTGTTGTATACATTTTAATATTCACAGATTAATTATTCAGAATTGATCATTAAAGTCGTTTAAAAGATTTCATTATCAAATTGATTTTTTTTTAGTTTTAAGGTTAGGATCGGTTTTATAGGTTATGTCAAATGTCAGGAGAAAGTAATTAATATCCTTTTGCGATTATCTTCGAATATATAGATGTGAAATAAAATTTTTATTGTTCGATTTGTTTAATATTAGATTAATATAATACGACTTTTATTTATGTTATACTTTTAAAATTGCGCAATCCAAAAATTATGTGATAAACACGCGGTTATCCGGTTTTGACATATAAGTTAAATGAGAAGATTATGAGAAAAGGTATTCTTATATATGAAAAATGTATTTTTAAGTAATAGTACTCTAATAAATAGTGTTAATAGGTTTAATTAAAGAATGAATTTAAATTTAATTTAAAAAATTTATTGGTAGTGAGATAAAAGAGGAATCTGTAATAATTAAGGATTTTGATTAAAAATTTAATTTAATTTTTTGTTTGTAGATGGCGCTAATTCATACACTTTAAAGTATTTCAGTGATTTAATATTCTTGTATTTATAATTACTTTGGATTACATGATTTCTCATCTTCTAACATACGACGATGTTAGAATTAATCGATTAATTAATTATGTAATCATTAAAACCAATTCTTTTTTTTTTAATTAAACCAACATCCTTTTTGGTAGACCATCTGATAAAGTTGCGGCGAACCTTCCTGTATTGATAACATTTAACGGTTTATGATATTATAAAGTAACAAATTCTTGACGGATACGTTTTGTGTTAGATTATATTTAGTGTAAGCAAAATCACTTTGTAGTGTTAGAAAAAAAATGGTCAAAAAAGGCACTTATCATGTTCAAGATCCTGAAGGAGGACAACCCGCCGTGGAAGACACCAGTTACAAATCATTTTTGTGTGTCTTACTTATATTTATATCATTTTGTGCCTTAATTATCGTCTTTTCATCTTTTGATTGGTTCAAAACTAAAGAGAAGCAGCCATTAGATGTAAGTACTTATTTTTTGGAGCTTTATATGTTTTTTTTGTAATTGCTGAAATAAATTTAAAGTTGAATGGCGATGTGGAAATGGTCGATAAAGGAAAATTAATGCAAGGTAAAGAATTAGAAGCAAATAGAACTAAAGAAAGTGATAAAGAAGCTGAGAAAGTTGATCAAAGTTCTGGTGAATCAACAACGAAACCAACTAAGAAGGAATATGCGGAGGAATCGAATGAAATTGAAGGGTTTAATCCGGAAGTTAAAACTTCATCTACAACAACTTTGTCTCCAACAAGTACAACTACGACAACTTTGAAACCATCAACAAGTACTACAACTACTTCAACTTCAACCACATCATCATTGATTCCACAAACGACTCCATCAAATACAAGTACGTTAAGTACAACTATGTCAAGTACAACTACATCAAATACAACTCAATCTAATTTGAGTCCTTCCTCAACAACATCAAGCACAACTACATCATCCTTAATTCCTCCAACAACAACGTCAAGTACAACGACATCAAGTTTGAGTCCACAAACAACAACTTCAAGTACAAGTACATCGAGTTTAAGCCCAACTACAACAACTTTGAGTTCATCATCAACATCAAGCACAACTACATCATCCTTGATTCCTCAAACAACTACGTCGAGCACAACGACATCAAGTTTGAGTCCACAAACAACTACATCAAGTACAACGTCATCATCTTTGAGTCCAACAACTACATCAAGTACAACTACATCAACTTTGACTCCAACAACTACATCAAGTACAACTACATCAACTTTGACTCCAACAACTACATCAAGTACAACTACATCAACTTTGAGTTCAACAACTACATCAACTTTGAGTCCAACAACTACATCAAGTACAACTACATCAACTTTGAGTCCACCAACTACATCAAGTACAACTACATCAAGTTTGAGTCCACCAACTACATCAAGTACAACTACAACAACTTTGAGTGCATCAACAGCATCAAGTACAACTACATCAACATTGAGTCCAACAACTACATCAAGTACAACTACATCAAGTTTGAGTCCACCAACTACATCAAGTACAACTGCAACAAGTTTGAGTGCATCAACAGCATCAAGTACAACTACATCAACATTGAGTCCAACTACAACAACATTGAGTTCATCAACAACATCAAGTACATCATCAACTTCACCAACTTCAACGTCAACAATAAGTTCAACATCTGATGATTACCACACTGATGTTGACTCAACGGTAACATTAATAAATAAAATGTCGAGAAGTGCGGTAGGAATAATAGTAACCGATATAACAAATGAAACAAAAACGACGACCATGTTATCTACAACGAAAAATAACGATGATGATTTTGATTCGCCCCAAGAAACGAGTGGTGAAGATTATGTTGATTCATCATCAAAATCTGCTTCGTTCACTACTTCTTCAACATCATCTACTACTTCTGCAACTACACCTTCAACACCATCCACTTCGTCAACATCATCTACTTCTTCAACAACTACTTCTTCAACTTCAGGTACTTCAACGACAACAACATCGGCAGTAAAATCAGCAATGACTACAAAATCAAGCGCACCTCAACAAAAAGCTTCGGCACGATTAAAAAATAAATTTAAAATTTCCGTTTCGGATATGTTGGCTACGATGGATCATACGATCGATAAATGTGAGGACTTTTATTCGTACTCTTGTGGACGGGCATCGAAAAAATCTTCGGAGTCATTTAGAAGGCAAAAAACGTTCAGAAAAATTTTGAACGAGGAAATTCTAAATACCTCCAAAAGTGTGTTTGTCGAGAAAATGACTCAATTTTACGATACATGTATAACACATGAATCGGTATTTGATTACAACGAAAGATTAACTGAAGGTAATGATTATTATATTCTTAATCTTCACGAAAAATCCTTTAAAATGAATCCAAACACGACATATTTAACTATTAAACCTTGCGAGATATTTTGATTTTTATACTTTATTAAAATTCAAAATGGCCGAAAACAAAACACTAATTAATTGTGTCAAATATGATTTTAAATGATCATTTATGATAAATATAGAGTGTGGCACATGAAATTAGGTTAGAATTTTCTGATTTTTTCAAAAATCGTATTATTTTGAACAAATTAATTAATTTTTTATTATAATTATTTTTTTTTTTAATTTAGTTCGAGAAATTGTTGAAAAATTAATTAACGATGATCCTGAAAAACACGATTTCACCGTTTTAGTATCCAAAATGATTTTAACAAATACTTTACCAATTATGGACGTTGATATTGATGTTGATCAAAATACAAAACAATATGTTTTTAAGGTAAAAAAATTTATATAACAAATCAATTTCTTTTGTGTTGTATCTTTTTCTGTGGGTAATAAATTATCTGGTTTCTAGTTGAGTCCGCCTTACAAAACTTTGACCCGAAATCCTTTAGAAACCAGCTCGGCTTTGTATAACATTGACAGTAATTGTGCGAAGAACCTGCAAAGGGAACAACGTTTCGAATCTCATCATTTGAATTTGGACCAAATTTACGAGGATTTCGCAAACTGCGTGAAACATTTTGACCACTACATAACATCTTTTAACGTTACCAGGAGATCGATTGAGTATTTCAATAACATGTACAATTTAGAGTTTAACATTGAGAACGAAATTTTAGATTATGTAATGTTACCCAAAAAATAATTTAATTTACTCTTTAATTCTTATTTTTTTTTTCATAATTTTAGATTAAACTGGTCAGTACAAGTTCATTGCGAAATTCTTTTATCTCGGAAAAATTCGAAGAACAAACTGTGGACGATTTAAACAAAAAATTTTATAGTATCGATTGGAAATTATTATTTAAAATTATTTCGGGGAAAAAATTGGATGATTCAAGCGTGGTGATGGTCTATCAAAAAGATGTTTTATATAACATTTTTAATGAATTAAACAAACTTCAAATTAAGTAAGTATGCAAGGTTAAAAAAATTCATAATTCTGAAATTTGAAAATTTGAGAAAACCATCTTTTTAATATTAAATATTAAGTTAATTTGGTTTAAAATGCTTTTTATTTCATGATGATATCTCAATTAGTTTCGGAGATACAATTGTTTCTATATCTATTCTTAAAGTTTAGAACAATCAAGCTAAGTTGGATTTAAAAAATCATAACAACGATGTTTATGGAAAATAAGAAATTATTTATGGTGCATTAAATCTTCATTAAATTTGCTTTAAAATGTTTGTTATTTCATATTGATATCTCAATTCGTTCTTGAGATACGATTTTTTTAAATTTATTTCATATCTATAACAATCGAATATGTAGAGTTGGGTTTAAAAAATCATAACAACGATGTTTATGGAAAATAAGAAATTATTTATGGTGCATTAAATCTTTATTAAATTTGCTTTAAAATGATTGTTATATCATGTTGATATCTCAATTCGTTCTTGAGATACGATTTTTTAAAATTTATTTCATATCTATAACAATCGAACATGCAGGGTTGGGTTTAAAAAATCATAACAACGATGTTTATGGAAAATAAGAAATTATCTATGGTGCACTAAATCTTCATTAAATTTGCTTTCAAATGTACTTTATTTCATGGTGATATCTCAATTCGTTCTTGAGATATGATGTTTTAAAATTTATGTTTCATACCTATAACAATCAAGCATGCAGGGTTGGGTTTAAAAAATCATAAGATCCATGTTTATGGTAACTAAGTAATTATTTATGGTGTTTTAAATCTTCATTAAATTTGCTTTAAAATGTTTGTTATTTCATGATGATATCTCAATTCGTTCTTGAGATACAATTTTTTTAAATTTATTGCATATCTATAATAATCAAACATGCAAGGTTGGGTTTAAAAAATCATAACAACGATGTTTATGGGAAATAAGAAATAATTTTTGGCACATTAAATCTCCATTAAATTTGCTTTAAAATGTTTGTTATTTCATGATGATATCTCAATTCGTTCTTGAGATACAATTTTTTTAAATTTATTGCATATCTATAATAATCAAACATGCAAGGTTGGGTTTAAAAAATCATAACAACGATGTTTATGGGAAATAAGAAATAATTTTTGGCACATTAAATCTCCATTAAATTTGCTTTAAAATGTTTGTTATTTCATGATGATATCTCAATTCGTTCTTGAGATACGATTTTTTAAAATTTATTTCATATCTATAACAATCGAACATATAGAGTTGGGGTTAAAAAATCATAACAACGATGTTTATGGGAAATAAGAAATTATTTTTGGCACATTAAATCTTCATTAAATTTGCTTTAATTTGTTTGTTATTTCATGAAGATATCTCAAATCGTTCTTGAGATATGATTGTTTTAAATTTATTTCATATCTATAACAATCGAACATATAGAGTTGGGGTTAAAAAATCATAACAACGATGTTTATGGGAAATAAGAAATTATTTTTGGAACATTAAATCTCCATTAAATTTGCTTTAAAATGTTTGTTATATCATATTGATATCTCAATTCGTTCTTGAGATACGATTTTTTTTTAATTTATTTCATTTCTATAACAATCGAACATGTAGAGTTGGGTTTAAAAAATCATAACAACAATGTTTATGGAAAGTAAGAAATTATTTTTGGCACATTAGATCTTCATTACATTTGCTTCAATTTGTTTATTATTTCATGATGATATCTCAATTCGTTCTTGAGATACGATTTTTTTAAATTTATTTCATATCTATAACAATCGAACATGCAGGGTTGGGTTTAAAAAATCATAACAACGATGTTTATGGAAAATAAGAAATTATCTATGGTGTACTACATCTTCATTAAATTTGCTTTCAAATGTACTTTATTTCATGGTGATATCTCAATTCGTTCTTGAGATATGATGTTTTAAAATTTATGTTTCATACCTATAACAATCAAGCATGCAGGGTTGGGTTTAAAAAATCATAAGATCCATGTTTATGGTAACTAAGTAATTATTTATGGTGTTTTAAATCTTCATTAAATTTGCTTTAAAATGTTTGTTATTTTATGTTGATATCTCAATTCGTTCCTGAGATACGATTTTTTTAAATTTATATTTCATATCTATAACATTCAAACATGCAGGGTTGGGTTTAAAAAACTATAATAACGATGTTTATGGAAACTAAGTAATTATTTTTGGCACATTAAATCTTCATTAAATTTGCTTTAATTTGTTTATTATTTCATGATGATATCTCAAATCGTTCTTGAGATATGATTGTTTTAAATTTATTTCATATCTATAACAATCGAACATATAGAGTTGGGGTTAAAAAATCATAACAACGATGTTTATGGGAAATAAGAAATTATTTTTGGAACATTAAATCTTCATCAAATTTGCTTTAAAATGTTCTTTATATCATGGTAATATCTCAATTCGTTCTTGAGATACGATTTTATTTAATTTATTTCATTTCTATAACAATCAAATATGCAGGGTTGGGTTTAAAAAATCATAACAATCATATTTATGGTAACTAAGTAATTATTTATAGTGCATTAAATCTCCATTAAATTTGCTTTAGAATGTTTGTTATTTCATGATGATATCTCAATTCGTTCTTGAGATACGATTTTTTTAAATTTATTTCATATCTATAATAATCAAACATGCAGAGTTGGGTTTAAAAAATCATAACAACGATGTTTATGGGAAATAAGAAATAATTTTTGGCACATTAAATCTTCATTAAATTTGCTTTAATTTGTTTGTTATTTCATGAAGATATCTCAAATCGTTCTTGAGATATGATTGTTTTAAATTTATTTCATATCTATAACAATCGAACATATAGAGTTGGGGTTAAAAAATCATAACAACGATGTTTATGGGAAATAAGAAATAATTTTTGGCACATTAAATCTTCATTAAATTTGCTTTAATTTGTTTGTTATTTCATGAAGATATCTCAAATCGTTCTTGAGATATGATTGTTTTAAATTTATTTCATATCTATAACAATCGAACATATAGAGTTGGGTTTAAAAAATCATAACAACGATGTTTATGGGAAATAAGAAATAATTTTTGGCACATTAAATCTTCATTAAATTTGCTTTAATTTGTTTGTTATTTCATGAAGATATCTCAAATCGTTCTTGAGATATGATTGTTTTAAATTTATTTCATATCTATAACAATCGAACATATAGAGTTGGGGTTAAAAAATCATAACAACGATGTTTATGGGAAATAAGAAATTATTTTTGGAACATTAAATCTTCATCAAATTTGCTTTAAAATGTTCTTTATTTCATGGTGATATCTCAATTCGTTCTTGAGATACGATTTTCTTTCATTTATTTCATTTCTATAACAATCAAATATGCAGGGTTGGGTTTAAAAAATCATAACAATCATATATATGGTAACTAAGTAATTATTTATAGTGCATTAAATCTTCATTAAATTTGCTTTAATTTGTTTCTTATTTCATGATGATATCTCAATTCGTTCTTGAGATACGATTTTTTTAAATTTATATTTCATATCTATAACAACCAAACATGCAGAGTTTGGTTTAAAAAATCATAACAACGATATTATTATTAACACAAATAATTAATTTATTTTTTTCAGGGGAAGTTACATAAATTTCCTCGCAGTTTATACCAACGATCTTTTCCACGCAACAGTTATACCAAAATCAACTGATTCAATAGACGATTATTGCTTAGATTTGACAAATTATCTATTCTCAGACGTTTCTTCTTATTTATACATGAAGCATTTACCACAAGATAAAATTACGAAAGCCCAACAACTTTCAGAGGAAATATTTAAGAAATTAAAATCAAGCTTTTTGCAAAGTGTCGAAGTCACAGAAGGAATCGACGATGAAGAAGATAAAGACTTAATCGAAGAAAAAATCAAGGAATTATCATTACATTTTATGTCGAATTCCGATGAATGCATTTCGGGCTTATTCTTGCAAACGAAATACGACTCGATCAATTTAGGATCAAGCTACGTTTCCCAATTAGTGGAAATGAGGAAATATAAAAACTTACAAAAATATTCGTCAGTTGGTGAAAGTTTTAAAGACACCGACACATTCTGCCATTTCATTCAACCCCATGATTACAAACCAAAATCGTTTTATTTCACATCAAAAATTTCAATCCCCTACGAATTTTTAACATCTTACAACATGGATTATTACCCCGGATATTTCTTAATGGCGAAGATCGGTACTCAAATTGCGATTGAAATGGGAAAACATTTCAATGAAATCGGTATCAAAACTATCGGTTTGAACGATCCGGGTATTTTAGAGGTTCTTCATACCGAGCAAGACAAAAAATTTATGGTGATTAAAGAACAAAACATTACCATAACCCCCCCGGAAATAAAATATATCCAAACAGACGCCGATAACACAGGATTTCGTCTCGCGCTTAAATGTTTTAATCAACTCCAAACGAATAACACCGTTTTACCTTGGATCAATGAAGATTTTACTGACGAACAAGTATTTCTTATTGCCGCAGCTCAAGAATTTTGCGAAGAAAGAATCATATCGAATGAAAATCATTTCGATTTTATGCTAAAAATGTTCGAGGCGAAAAATAATTTACCCAATTTATGGAGAGTGAATAAAATGATTATTAACACGAGAGAATTTCAAAGTATTTTTAAGTGTAGTATTGGATCTGCGATGGCAACGAACGACGCCGTTCGTAAATCATTCCCTTTTTATGAAGACGATGATGATTGATACCAAATTTAGTAATGACAAGTATTTTTAATGTAATTCTTTTTCAATAAAAATTTTGTTTTGTATATTAAACTAATTCAAATCATGTTCCAGTTTATACCAAAATTTGAATTCACCAAACCGTGCTGTTTATTTTTGATAATATACGATTGTTTATGTTGTGCCCTCATTATAACTGCGTTTCGAGAGAAACGTAACTGGTAATGCATAATTATAAAGAACGAGAATCGGTTGGGTTTCGAGCGATGTAAAAACGTCAACAGCTCAACAATAACGTTTATCAATAACAAAACAATCAATATTCCTGGTTTATTCTTCTCAATTTATGCAACTGCTATTTAGGCGAGGCGGTGCTGATCGTTATTTAAAAACATAACAAAAACAATCGTTCGGTTTGTATTAAAAAGAAGTGTTGTACAATACTGATCAAAAGATTTCATACATAAAAATATGTTTATAGTGAATTTCACTTAAGATGTAATATACAAAAATATATTTCCATAGAAACCAGGGCTAAAGATCTGAAGACGCAAGGCTAAACCCGAAATTTATAATAAATAATAATTTTTGTGCAGCGCTAAACCAAGAACTAGAATCGGTCTCGAAAGACAGTCTCATTCTTGTATTTCAAGTCTATACAATTTCACTCCGTCCTACTTCATTTTGCTTTTTTGTGTTTTAGTTCAATCTGTTTCTTGCGTTTGCAGTATCTTTTTAATTTTGCATCTCATCTACTCCAAATGCATCTTGGCTTTATTTCTTGCTTTCACAATCTTCCCCAAATCTCCTTCTTTTCTGTCCACTCTATTCTTCTATAACTAATCTTTTTCTAGATTCTCTATTCTCTGTCTGCTCTTTTTCTTGCATTTACTTTCTCTTCTGTTTTCAGTCATTCTGATCTTTGTGTACTATTTATTTTTATTTTTACAGTTTCTTTCAAGTCTCCTTTCTTTCTGCCCACTCAATTTCTTCTCGTTCCAAACTCTATTCAGTATCCTCTTCGGTTCCAGTCTCTTTATCCTAATACAAGTCTCTTTTCTGTCTTTTTCTCTGCTTTATCTTGTCTTTGCTTTATCGCTACCTATTCTCTGTCCAGTCGTTATTTATAACAAATCTCTGTTATCCCATTCTATGACAATTCAATAACAATAAAGGCCAAAATCAGCCTATAAAATCAGGCCATGGTCATGATATATTTTATGCTACTATTTGAGAGAAAAATTGATTTTTTCAAAACTGTTAGGAATTAAGAAATGAAACTGTTTGAGGTTGTAAAGAAACGTTTGAGGTTAGGTTGTACCAAATTTAAAGTGTATAGGGTCAACAATTTATTTTATATATATTTTGAAAAATAGTCAATTTAACGTTTGTTCAAAGTATGATTTAAGAAAAAATTGTTTTCTCTAAAACTATTATACTCTGTTTTTAAACCAGGAGGAGTATTTTAAATTTGTCACCAGATTGACCTTGCACGTGATTGGTTGAATGCGAGGAAGGTTCACACACAGGCAATTTTGAATTTTGATTTTGAATTTGAAGGTTAGGTAATTGATAATTCGACAGTTTCGTGTCATTATTGTATATTTTGTGTTCTTAAACCCTTTTTTATTATATTTTGAAATAAATACACTCATAACTTCAATGTTAATTTGTATGTATAGTGTTGACGATAACAAACGAAAATAAATACAATAATAAGTAAATAAATAAATAATAATAATTATTAATTTAAATTTACCGCCAAAATATCTAGTGATATTTTCTGGTGATTTTTCCTAGTGTAAATCTGACTTTCGCGTTTACTCCTCCTGGTTTAAAAACAGAGTATA